GCCGGGCGGCCCTCGCGGGTGGGCGCCGGAGTGGAGTGAGGCCCGCCCGGCCTCAGGGGGATGCGCGGGTAGCCCGCGCTCGAAGCCAGCCCAGCCCAGCCCCGGTGGTCGCCGCGGAGCTGGCGTCGGGAGGCCACAAGATGTTCAGCTGGCTGGGCACCGACGACCGTCGGCGGAAGGACCCGGAGGTGTTCCAGACGGTCAGCGACGGCCTGAAGAAGCTTTACAAGACCAAGCTGCTGCCGCTGGAAGAACACTACAAGTTCCACGAGTTCCACTCGCCCGCCCTGGAGGATGCCGACTTCGACAATAAGCCCATGGTGCTCCTCGTGGGGCAGTACTCCACTGGGAAGACCACCTTCATCAGGTAAAATCCAGCTCCCTGCGCCCTCCATGCTCGGACACTAGGGTGGGGCAGAACGTGTGTCTGCTACCTGTGCTATGCCTTGATCCCCCTCCTGTTACCCCCTTCGCGTCCCCTCAACAGCTTTTCATTGAAAAGTCGCCTCCACTCAAACGCCAGCCGTTCCTTCGCAAGCTCAGGGTGCTGTAAGATGTCCCATGGAACACCGACGTGGCAAAAAGTAGCCCAGGGCAGGGCTGAGGAGTGCAGGCAGAGCCGGAGTGTGGAGATGTGAGTCACTGGGGCCCTCCTGGCCGTTCAAAGTGCAAAGGCTTTGGGAAGCCTCGCGCGGGGCATTCCGTGCCTGCACTGCCCTGGTTGACCCTTGTAGTAACCATGCTTTCCAACTTACTGTAGCTTTTTGAATGGTGAGGCAGCTTTAAAGGGGGTACCTCGGTTTGCAGTGGTCACTGTTATATGCTTGCGGCTGTCTTGTCTTTTTCTGCACTGTCCCAGAGATAACACTCAGAACCCACGTAGAGAAGCATGTGTGCCTGTGCACAGACAGACCTGCTCCTCTTCAGGGCTCCAGAAGTAAAGCCCTGTTTTAACTGTGTCCTGCTCGGCCGAGATGCTGGGAGCAGCAAGTTTCTTTCGAACTGTAAAGAAAGAGCAGCTGCCAGCAACTCTTTCATTTCGATGATGTGAAACTGCCGCAGAGAGGGTTAAACTTTTCCAGCTGGACTTGGTTGCAGGGATCTCTGTTCAGCCATGCTGCTAGTTCAACTTGCAGCAGCCTTTCCCTTGGGATCGTAGCTGAAGCTGCACTGCCCGTGTTTCCTATGTGATTCATAAGCTAAGCGTTAAATTCCAGCCTTTTTCTGGTGTAGCTGTGTTGAAATCTGTGGAATTACCCCAGTGTAAATCTGGATTCGAGCCACAGGCAGCCAGCCCTTTGTTTGACCTGTATTTCTTGGTGAAGGAGGGAACTGTGGAGAGTAGAGAGAGGTGGATCAAATTGACTGTACCTCTAAAGGAATGACCTTGAGAAATGCAGGGGCTTTTCTTTTTAATGTGCTGTAATATTCCTGCTGCTAAATTTCCTGGTCAGGAGCCAAGAACAGAATGCATTTCTGCTATCTTGGCATGTACCTGGCAAACAAAGTTGAAAAGTTAAAAGGCTTTTCTCGTATGAGCAGGTCAGGTGGATGGTGACAGGGTGCAAAAGACCCAAAGAAGCATTTTGCACATGTTTGCAAAGGGAGTTACTCTTCTGAAAAATAGAGAGGATAGCTAGCACAACTGCCTGGTTCCACCCCAGATCTTTGTTCCCTGACTTAGAACCAAGCCTGTTTGAAAAGCTTTTCCTGTCTCTGGCTTACAGACACTCAGAGCCTGAACACGAGGAATTGCTGAATTCCTGATAAGGCTGTCTAACTAAAGCATCTCTTCTTAACCCTTTTATCTGGATTGCCAGCATCACTGTTTCCCTGCAGTCTCACCTGCATGCTGTTAGCAGAGACTTCCTGCCTTTGCCCCTGTCTGTTCAGTGAATTCCTTTCTCTGTGAGCCTCAGCTCCTTTTGCAGGAAGTTTGGGTGCCTACAGCATGTTCCAGGCTAAAGAAGATTAAGTTTTTGCTATGTGGGATGGCAGCAACAACCTCTCTGCTGTCAGCAAGTGGATCTGAGCCTCTCTGACAACTGCTGTTCACTCGTGCTTGTGTTCTCCCAGTTTTCTCCAGGC